TAGGCGCCTTGGTAAAATATTGCCGACTATCTTAAAAGGTAAGAGTGGGGAAGCTCTTTTGGTGTGAGGGCTGGAGTCCATTTCAGGGGCCACATTTGGCAGAGGTCAAGGTAAAAGTAAAGGTTCCCCTTGACATTCAGTCCAGTCGTGTCCGACTCTAGGGCGCGGTGCTCATCCTCCACCTCCAAGCGGTAGAGCCAGCGTTTGTCCAAAGACTGTTTCCGTGGTCACGTGGCCAGCGCGACTAGACACGAAACGCCATGACCTTCCCACCGAGGTGTTACCTATTTATCTACTTGCATTTACATGCTTTCAAATGACTAGGTTGGCAGGAGCTGGGACAAGCGATGGGAGCTCCCTCCGTCGTGTGGATTCGATCTTATGATGGCAGGTTAACCCACAGCACCACCATGTCCCTTAATTTGGCAGAGGGAGGGACCTCTAAAGGCAAAGAGAGGGACCAAGCTCTTCCTGCCAGGTCCACGTCCACCACTTTTTATAGGGGAGATCCCCTATAAAAAAAGGGGAAATCCCCATGCCGCTGGAAGAGCAATCCAAAGAGTCCATTTGAGTCCTCAGGAAGGCTCCGTTTGCACCCTTGTGCCCGGCTTTATTGACACTGTCCAGTTGGAACAGGAGACTGAGAGGCCCTCCGGTTAGCACACGGCGGAAGCCTCGTCTCGCTGGAACTTGACCCCAGATCTGAAGGAAGACGCTGGTGTGGGGAGACCCAGCCCTAGCAAAGCAAGAGAAGGAAGACGCTGGTGTGGGGAGACCCAGAGGGCTCTGCCAGGCGGCCCCAGCCCTAGCAAAGCAAGATAATGTACAGGGCTTCCCAGCCACCTGCCTTCAATGCCACTCTTCCCCAGAGAAGAGGCTGTGCCAGACCCAACAAGAACATGCGCAGTTTTTGATGGCAAGGATTAATGGCCTGGAGCAATTTAGGACAACAGGCCAGTGACATGATGCACCCTGTAGAGAATGGCAACCTGAGCGAGCGAGCCACCTTCCGCTAGCGGAGAGGATCAGAGGTGGTTTGGCTCGGACCGCACGCCCGGCAGCGAAGCTGAGCCACGGAGGCAAGCTTCCACAAGGACAGAGATGTGCCAAACCGAAAATACAGCTTTCCATTTCCAACGTGGAGGGGTCTAAATTGTCCTGCTTTTCTCTTCCCCCAAATGAACGACAGATAATCCTTCCAGGCTAGCCTGAAAGCTGCAGCAGCAGTATTCGTGAAGGGAGAGATGATCACATGACCCCTCGGGGCCTGGATTTTGACAGATCATGCAACAAAGCTACTTTCCTCTCTATTTCTGGAACCAATGGCCAGGGCTGAGTCCATGCAGCAATTCCATAGGAGATAAAGCACCGGATGCGCATCATTCAGCTCTCGGAGACTCTACACACCACCGATACGGTTGCCGAAGATGGTGGCTCTTAAGACTGGGAAGCTATTCCTACTAAAATCTCAGTGAAGAAGAAAGGTGGCTTAATAAAATTTCAGCAAAGATTAACAACGCTCCTTCCTTGCTCCTAGCAGAAGTAAAATCATAAAGGACGGTCAGGGGATAAAGTAATTAAACACCTACACAAAGGAATTATGCCATAACTAGATTCTGGGGGGAGGGATTCTGAGAGCTGCATTCAACTTAGTTTGCATACTTCCCGCAAAGTGCGTGATTCTGCCTTTCTTAGTGCAGAATCCAGACTAAATGCAGAACGTGAAGCTTTTAAAGAGCAGGGGAGAAGCCGTCTTGCCATGGATAACATCCTACCCCTAAGCAGCTGCGCCTGCCAAGATTCGTGCCAGAATAGATTTCTACGCCCTAGAGCTAAGCCCAGGAACAGGTAAGTTAATGGAGCAAGTTGCCCTGCTCTCCTCCTGATCTGCCTAATCTGGGATCAAGGGGAGGAAGGCTCCCAGGTCAGAGTGCCAGGATCTCCCTTCTGGCCAACTAATCCAGCCTCCAAAATGAAGGGGTCAGCATCGAGATAACCCAGACTGCAAAATCAACGAGGGCAACACTGCCTAGGGGTGGCATGCTTTTTCCCCCCTTCTACTTGGGGAGATACAGAGCTGGGGGAAAGTTACCTTTCTGGACTACAACTCCCAGAATCCATAGCTAGATTCTGGGAGATCAAGAGCTGTGCTTTAAAAAAAAGCAACTCTCTGCAGCTCTGATAGGCCACCTGAGAGCATCTCGGTTCTTTGTCATGAAGGTGCCCTTACCAGCGGACTGTAGGTCTAGGTGAGGAAACAAATAACCTGGCTTCCACGTTCTGTAAGAATATGGGAAACAGATACAGCTAGGGCCTTGCAGGAGGGAATGTCAGGTTTAAAGCAAAATGGCAAGGTCTTTTTTTATAAGGATGGTTAACAAGCCCGTCTGTCTATGTCAAATCTAGGGCAGCATGAATTAGCTGATTAATGCTTTGCCTGCTAAGACTCTCTCTCTCACACACACACACATACACACAGACACACACCGGGCTTTAGCCAGTCAATGTGACCAATTGCATCCTTTCCCCCCTTAATCTTCTGTGTCGACCGAGTTTCCACTTTGCTGATGCTTCTCTGATTGGCTATGCCAGAAAGCTGACGCACTTATAACCAGGCAGATCTTTCCTTGGGAGTCCAGGGGGGCGGGGGGGAGGCCTGAGAATCCACACTGGCCAGTTGGAAAATTTAAAAGCAACCTGCAAAATCCCAAAGAAATAAAGTGCAAGCTGCTGAGGGTTGCAATGCACCACTTATCCAGAGTGGTGTAAAGGGGGGAACGGATGAGTGCCACGGTCTTGCACCCATGCGCCAGAAAGGGAGAGATCTGCCACTTATGGAAGGACACGAAAACCAGCCCTGGGCTTCCAAGAATTCCCCCACAGCTTAAGACAAAGTGACAAATCTTTAATGCCAACACAGGTTAAATCAAAGAACAGGTGATGGGGAAAGGAATGGAAAACTAAGGGACACGAGGCAGAGCTGGGGGGGGGGGAGCTAAGAAAACGGCCACGACTTCTCTAAAGTTAAATCTGTGCATTTTGAAAATAAAATAAAATAAAATAAATTGACTGGTCAGATGCTGTTTGAACAATAATCAAGGAAGGATCCCATGGTTTGCAAAGCACACATTTCATGAACAGCAATGGAAAATACAGTGGTGCCTCGCATAACGAGCACCCCGTTTAACGACGAATCCGCATAGCATTGTGGATTTTGCGATCGCAAAAGCAATCGCATTGCAATGTTCTGAATGGGTAAACATCACATTGCGATGATCGGTAAGCATTTCGCTTACTGATCTTCGCATTGTGATGTTTTAAAACAGCTGATCAGCGGTTCCAAAATGGCCGCCTGCAGCGTTTTCGCGCAGTTTCCTTGCTTACCGAGGCGGCAAAAATGGCGGCTGTATGGAGGATTTCCGCATAGTAGTGAGTTTATCCCCCACAGGAACGCATTAAACAGGGTTTAATGCATTCCTATGGGGGTTTTTGCCCCTTATAGTGACGATTCCGGATAGCGACAATTTATCCGGAACGGATTTTCGTCGCTATGCAGGCACCACTGTACACTTTAAGCATCTGTTGATGTGGCAGGACGTATCTGTGAAAGCAAGGTTTCTCTGTTTTTGAAAGCAAAACCCTTTTCCAGACCTGAGACCAGCCAGATCCAACAGAAAGGACACTCCCCATTCTCTTGAAGCAAACAAAATGGAGTCACCGGCGCTCCTTAGCCATCTCTGACATCAGACATCCTGTCTCGAGAGGCCTGTGGTTCTGGGGAAGCTTTGCCGGAGGGCTGAGGCCCGCCCGGACTGAACCGATTTCGCTTACAAGCGACACCGTTATGACATTTAAATTCGTGGCAGCTTTTGGCCACAGTCAAACGAGGATGCTGCTCCATCCAGAAACATTCTCCCCTGCCTCCCAACGGTTTTAATGTCACTTCTGGCAATCATCCCACTTATCGCTGCCAACCAAAAAACAGCGCCACCCAGCATGGATATGGATCCCTACCTAAGCGCAAGATCTATACAACGTGGAAGCACCACAGGGCAGGCAAGACACTCTGCTGCCTTAAGGAAGGAAAGAACAAGATGTGGGGTCTCCTCACCGGGTCGTGTAGAGAAGCCAGACGGATTGGGCACCTGAATCGGAGACGACTTTGACGGCTGCAAGGACACAGCGTCCTGCAACCCTATCTGGACCAAGTTTGTGTAGAGGCCTCAGGATGAGCTGCGTGGCATATCCACAAGCACAGCAGTAAATAAATGGTCAGGGAGCCCAGGAAGAATTGCAGAGAGCCCACCATTGCTACCCGCAGCATCGGCTGCTCAAGGAAACTGCTCCCCCACCCCCAGGCCAGCCCTGGGCAACTTGCGCCTGCTATTGAGTGACGGCCCCATCAACGTTCTGATGCTACTTCCTCAATTACTTTGAAGGCATATATTGTTATTTAAAGCAGGGGACCAGAGGAAGAGAGCCCAGTTAGCAAGGCGCCACCATAGCACCGTTCTGTAACCAGAGCCTCCAAAATCAGGTTGTTACCTCTATTCAAGACAAGCGGCTGAGAAAACCAACCGGTTTCGCTATGTGTGTCTACCCCTTTGATTAAGGAAATGGGTTTTGGGGTGCTTGGCCCCTGACGTGTCAGTCCACAAAAGGTTATGGGACCATCCAGGGCAAATCCAAGGACGTCGCCACCTCCGCCTACCGTTTGCGTCTTGAACCCCGGTGAGCGCGCCGACGGCTGCTGCGGTTTCACCCGACAAAACGATCTGTCCCCCGCTTTGAAGGGTGGCTTCTGCGAGCGTGGCGACAGCGTGGGCGGCGGCTTCACTGCGAGGCAAACCCAAAGAAAGAGAAGTTTACCAAAAGGGAGAATGCAAACTAAAATCCACACACTGGACACACAATGTCCGGATTCAGTTTCTAGGGGAGAGAGAGAGAGAGAGTGTCGCAAGATCACTGTACCTAGAGAGAGAGAGAGAGAGAGAGAGTCGCAAGGTCACTGTACTTCCTTTTAATTACCTCTTGGAGTAGCAGGTAACTAGGAGGGATATTAATGTTGCTGTTATTTCTCAGCTGGGGAAACAGACATCTCTGTTTGTGCTGACAGACCGGCCAGTATTCTGCTCCATAGCTCCGCCAGCATCATCAGAGTGACATCACCAGTACTGTGCCTCTAATTAAAGAGTCCCCACTTCTATTTTCGGCTGCGCACAAAATTACCTTATGGCTTGCGAGTCATGCAAAACCCAACCGAAGCAGGAACGCTTTCATTATCAGCAACCTGCCAGTGACATCATGTGGGGCCAGAAGGGCTACGGAGTAGGATGCTGGCCACTGTTTGTAGTCCGCAGAATAAAATATAGGCACAAAGGTTTTCCTATGCGGCTCGCGTTCGTGTGCATACCCGATGGATCTGTCTGTCCTTCTTGTATTACAGGGAAAACACTCTGTTTGAGGAAGAGAGGAAAGCTGCTATTAGCAGAGGCAGCTGCGGGCTACAGAGACCAAGGACCTGACTCAGGATAAAGGCAGCTGTTTGCACACGTGAAGATGGGTCTTTAAATGGAGCACACAAGCAGCAGGGACTAAGCTGATAGTAACCAGGCAACCGCAAGGCTTACACTGGCTCCAAAGATGCCATCAAGTCAACTCACCCACGTTGGAGGTGCCAGTTGTAACCCACCGAGGGCAAAGTAGCCAGGCAAGGTGTAAGGTCTTGGATCACCTGCGTTCTCCCCACCAAGCCCGCCCACCCACATAAAGGTTACTGGAACCTTTAATACCCCTTTTTAATGCATTGTTTTCCAGCAGAGAAGGGGAACTAAAGGAAGGAAGGAAGGAAGGAAGACGACAGAGCAAAAAGTCCGCTTCACAACAGACGCTGGACCTGCTGGAATCGCAAGTGTCTAAATTATAAAGCACTTTGGGACTTTACTAAAAACATATAATTTTGGAGCTACCCAGAAGAATTGGGTGCACAGCCTGAGGAAGATGAGTTATAATTGAAAGCTCGCTGTTCATTTTTTTGCTTTGTTATTTTTTCCCCAGTGGTTCCCCTGTTCCTGCATTTGTACTATCATTTGCAGACTCCTGCAGCCAGCCTGGACAGGATTTGGGGGATGTCGTCCAAAAGGCCCCTCTCTTCCAGGCATTTGCTCTAACCCAGTTCCCTGGGTAGAAGCGACCGTGGTGTAGCTCAAATGAATACAAAGAGAAAGGAGGAAACCACTTGAAAGATGTGAATGACTGGGATTTTTTTTTTCTGAGCAGCCTACCTGTTTGGCTTATTCTAAGACGGCTGTGGGCAAAGCGTGGCCCCCCCAGGGAAGCAAGCCCCCTCCCAGGGATGTCTTTCTAGCCCTTGACACTTTGCAGGGCCATCGTGCCGCGTTCAACGCTCAAAAGGCCACCTCCGGCTCCCTCCCAACGCTCAACCTTTTTGCGTTTCTGGCTGTCCATGGACCCAAGCCAGCGACGAAATACCAGATCTGCTCAAGTCACCATTAGAAGGAGGCTGGGGGGCATCTGTCTGTGCATTTTGCTACACAATGATTGCAAACAGACACACACACACCCCTTAGAAAGCCCAGCCTCTTCTTCCCTTTCTCAATCTCCTGGCCGTATGACGTTTCCTCCCCACTCTGCCTCAGCGGCCCAGGGGGAGCTATGGCTGCTCTCTCGCTAATCATGTCCTCCCGAGCCAACGTCACTGCTTGGAGGCTTGTTAACCAAACCATGGGGGACCCCATTAACCAGCCTCTATGAGAACGGGCCTGGAGAGGGGGCTGCTTTTCCTCCCATCTCCTGGCTCTCCTTCATACGGTCACTCTTGAGCTGCTGCTGCTGCTGCTGCCACGTAGCTGATCCGTTGGGTCAGTTTCACAATCAAGGAACCGAGCACTGTCACTGAGTATTATGGTGTGGCAGCAGGGAGGGCAGAACACCCCATGATATGCTGTGACACCAGCTCCCTCTTGCCCTCTGCGCCGACTGCTCAAGAGGCTCAAAAGCACTCCAGTCTCACAACAGCATGGGCAGACGTCTTTGAAAGAAGGCAGATGCCTTCCTTAACCTTTATGCCTATTTTTGCAGTTGGGGGGGGCACTCAAAGTACATAAGTGATTGTATCTGCCTGAAACAGAGTGGTAACAACGTGGAGAAGCAGCTGGATAACAGGTCCACTTTCTGCCATTGTATTTTGGGAAATAGATAACGGTGTCTGTTGGCTAGCTCCCCTTATGTAACAGGAAGGATGTTACTGGCAACAGCAGATTGTCACTGACCAAGTCTCCATTTTGCAGTTGCAGGGTACGTAAACTCGTACGCAGTGTGACAAAGTCATGCGCACCCCTTACATCGCAAAGGGAAGACTTTAACCAATTGCCATAATGCTGCCGTTGCTGATGCCCTTCTCGCTGGGCAGGGGACTCTCTCCAAAACGAAGTTGGCCGTGAAGCAAGGAAAAACTGGCGCAAAGTTTCCCCAACACACCCTTGAGTTCACAAATGGCAACTAAACAGAGTTGTTGTACTCTACAAGCAGTACAGAAACGCTAGGCATGACTGGGTTAAGAGTGGAGGGTCTGATCTGGGCAGGATGCTTCTGGATCCGGAATCAAGATCCCCAAAGGCCGTTCGCGGCCCAGGACAGATGCCCAGGGCTTTGGGCAAGGCTGGCCAACACTCGGGGAAAGACTGCCCACCTGCCGCAACCCTGTCCGCATCTCCTGGTGTGCAACACTGAGCCGCTGTGCTTCAGTCTCGTGTTTGTCAGCTTTTACACGACCAAGCACTGGTCTGTTCAAACAGTTGCTGTAGGTCAGAAAAGGCTAACTTTAAACAACACTGCTTTGCCTTTACAGTCGTGTCCCGCTGGACAATTACCCCACTCTACGAAGAATCCGCATTACGCTGACGTTTTTGCGATAGCTTTTGCGATCGCAACAGAAACGCTAGGCGTGACTGGGTTAAGAGTGGAGGGTCTGATCTGGGCAGGACGCTTCTGGATCCGGAATCAAGATCCCCAAAGGCTGTCCGCGGCCCAGGACAGATGCCCAGGGCTTTGGGCAAGGCTGACCAACACTTGGGGAAAGACTGCCCACCTGCCGCAACCCTGTCCGCATCTCCTGGTGTGCAACACTGAGCCGCTGTGCTTCAGTCTCGTGTTTGTCAGCTTTTACACGACCAAGCACTGGTCTGTTCAAACAGTTGCTGTAGATCAGAAAAGGCTGACTTTAAACAACACTGCTTTGCCTTTACGTTTCATTTGACAATGTTTTCGCTCCACAGCGATTTCGCTGGAACAAATTAACATCGTCAAGCGAGGCACCACTGTATTTATACCCTAACAAAATTGGTGGGATGACCGACAGGATCTCAAGAGGAACCAAAAGCAGCTGGAGGATGGTGAGGAGGGTCAGTATGAATATTTCTGTTCACAGCAGTGCCGCCACTAGACCGAGCCAAATTTCCCTAAGAAACACTTCCCGCTACAATATTTCACAAGAAGATGAATCAAAGGCGTCATCCACCTTCAAGCAGGACAGGGGGAGAACAACTGGAATATTTTTCGTAGTAGTTTCAGAGGGATTCAAATCATCTTTGGAGAAAAAGCATCACCCTCCTGGATGTCTCAACTTGTGAGAGGCGATCCTTCTAAAACACATGTTCTCCTTGGCTTGCGCCTGACCTTATTGTGACAGAATTTCATTTTGACTTCTGGCAAGGATGAAGAATGGAGAAGCTTTCAAGTGCATTTAGAATATTGGTAATCGGATGTCATACTCATGTGAGCAAACCTGTGCAGGTACACAGTATGTGTTTCAATTTCAAAGATTCGTGATGACCAAATTTGAATGTCAATACGTCTGTGTGGTTACTCTGCTACGTGTATATAATGCTTGATGGAGAGGGAATTTAAAGTGCAATGAGCCTCTCTGACAAGCTAGTAAACAATCCTCTCTTAGTGGTTATAAAACAGGAGGAAAATACCTTGTCCTCTTGCTTTAAGCCAAGAAAGCTCTCTCAAAAGAGACAAATTTTCTGTCCCCCCAAAAAAGGTGTTCTTCAGAAAGGTGTTTCAGGGGTAGACTCCCTTGGTCTTTTAGATCTTAGTGGATCACAACAGCTTCTTTGCAGCTAAAAGAGAGCGGACTCTTGGCAAAGTGAATTCGGCTGAGGTCCTGCTGATCTCAGGACCAGCCTCAGCTGTTTCCTCCTACATGATGCGTTGCTTGCTTCTTTCTTAAGTAATTTCAGAATCAGATAGCAAAGAATCTGGAAGCTCAGCAGTTCCCTTTTGGTGCCCAGCCTTGGGCTCACGATGATTGGCATCTGTCTCAAGACACCCCCTGCTGCTCCAGAGAGCTGTGCCCTAGGACTGCCCACATACCTGTTGAGCGCCATGGTGACCGTCGCACCCTGCTGCATCTCTTGCGACGCTGCCACGGCGGCTTCTGCCAGCGACGCCACTGCCTGAGTGGCTTCAGAGGCCTGTGTTGTCTGAATGGTCATCTCCCCTCCTTGCAGTGTTGCCCAGTTCTGCTCCACCTGGTTGAATGGATAGGATGAATGGACCTATGTTAAGAGAACGTCTAGCACCTCACAGAACAGTCTTGGTCGCATTTTATCTTTGGAGCATGTTCTTGGGCTAAAATCTCCATGACATGCCAGCAAATCCTCCAGTTTCTGCAATGACCGAAATAAAACACAAGCATGGATCCTGAGTGATCATCGTACCCGCAACTAGTTCTGCCATTGATTACAGTACTCTAGAGAAGTGCTGTCAGAATAAACTGAGATAGCCGGAAATTTGGATGAATTTTTGGATGTGGGAGTGGGTTTCCCCCTATTTCATCCACACAACTTTTGAGCAAAGATGCATGGAGAGGGATACATTTTTCATAAAACAGATTTGTTTTGTGCAAGACTCTGACCTGAAACAGTACGAGCTTCGACACGGCTGGAGCACATGCTCCGCAAATACAAAATGCCCAGTTCAACCCCTGGGATTTCATGAAAAAGGATCCCAGGGGGTTCTCAGCCAACCTCTTGCTGGCCCAAATGCAGCCAATCCTGCATGAAATGGGCGCGACCTAGTAAGAGGCAGAATTATATCCGCAAACATAAGTAGAAAGTCCTCTGGGGCCTGAACCTCCTTTGGTGAATCAAAGGCAGATTTTTTCAACGTCAGAATCTCAAACAAAGCTACCTGTTTCAAGCTGGTCTCTCAAATGGAAATATGAACTGCTCTGGTAATGAAGCTGTTTTGTGCTACCATCTCCTGTGGTTCCCGGAAAATAAGACAGGGTCTTATATTAATTTTTGCTCCAAAAAAACACATTAGGGCTTCTTTTCGGGGGATGTTTTATTTTTTCCATGTACAACAGTCTACATTTATTCAAAGACAGTCCTGCCATCTTCTTCTGGTTGCTGCACAAGAGTGGAGGGCGGGGTTTCACTTAACTAGGGCTTATTTTTGGGCTAGGGCTTATATGACAAGCATCCTGCAAAATCCTACTAGGGCTTATTTTCAGGTTAGGTCTTATTTTTGGGGAAAGAGGGTATGGCCCCAAGGATCCTATCCTGTTCCAGAGCAGAGTGGGACTAATCCGTCTCTTTTAGGGATCAGGACTATTCTATCTAAATGGGGACCCAGCAAAGTCCTTAAATGAGATAAGGCTCCCTGCCACCCACCACCCTCGGTCCTCTGCCTTCCCAACCTGGGCCTCTCTGCTTTCTGGCCCATTACTTCTCCTACTGAGACTTCCGCGAAGTGCCCTCCTGAGAACCTAGGGCCTGTGTTGCTTTGGAACTCCCTCCCACCGGAGGCCAGCCTGGCCCCGTCTTGGCTGTCATTCTGCAAGCAGGCCAAGACCTCCCTGTTCAAACAAGCTTTTCCTTCAGTCATGGGCTGTCTGAGTAGAATTTTTAAACAGACGGTTGTGCCTTGCCATTTTCAATGTATTTTTTTAGTGTTGCTTTTGTTGACTGTCTTTTAGAGTGGCACGTGTTTGATCCTGTTTAGTATGTGTACGCATTTTCTTTAAAGCTCTAAATAGCATCTTTCAATGATGACAAGCTGCCTTGGGGTCCTTGTTAAGGGGAAAGGCAGGGTTAAAAACATTTTAAATAAAGAATAAATAAACAAAGGTTACCCACAGGAGGGCCACATGTATAAGAAAGCATAAGAGGTGAAGCAAAATATTTCCCAGCGACACCGTTTTAGAGGATGTCACCGGACGTTTGGAAATAGCTCCCTTCCTTAAGAGGTCCCGGAGAGGAGGAGGAGGAGGAAGGCCCAGGAAGGATCCCTTTGGGGTTCATTCGATGGGAGGGCGACCTGCCTGAGCATCAGGGACAAGGGGAGCTTTGAGAAGAGGCCTCTGCTCTTCTCGCCAAGCATGAAGAGCATCCCTTACCTCTCCGTCAGTGACCGCAGAGTAGTTGACTTGGGCGACCGTCACGGTGGTGGGCAATTCGGAGGCATCGGCCAAGGTGGCCACCGTAGCGCCTGTGCCAACCTGCAACGTACCACCAGAAAAGGGTCACCCATGGACATCAACTGAACCCCTTGACCTGCCTGTTTGTTCTGGATGCTTCTGGACCGCCGGGCTAAGGGTTTGCACACCACAGGGGCCAAAGCCTCAGATTGAGAAACAGGCACCTCTTACTGAGTTATTCAGATTCCTCGCCTCTTCCAGCCCCCCCACCTGGCCATGAGTTATATTTTGAAAACTTATTTTAAGGAAACAGGCTAAGCTGAAGAGAAACAACCTCTATACGAGTATTCAGTTTGCTGGATGGGTCAGGGGGACTCTTACTGAGTTATTCAGATTCCTCGCCTGTTCCAGCCCCTCCACCTGGCCATGAGTTATATTTTTAAAACTTATTTTAAGAAAACAGGCTAAGCTGAAGACAAACAACCTCTATACGAGTATTCAGCTTGCTGGGTGGGTCGGGAGGGGGGGGATAGGTAGCCTGCATAATTAAATTGTAAACTGCCCAGAGAGTGCTTTAAGCACTATGGGGTGGTATATATATACCACCCCATACCACCATATATACCACCATATATATATATATATATACACCACCCCATAGTGCTTAAAGCACTCTCTGGGCAGTTT